TCACAGGTCCTAATTTCCGACCGTGCGCATCAGCTAGAATCCGTGATTTTGACACTCGTGGCGGTGGGCCACGAGAAGGCTGGAAACGTGGCCACTTCTTTCCCCAAAGCACCACGCCGACGAATCGCGCAAAGCACGGCATGATTGCCCAGGCGTCGATCGAAACGCGCGAAAGCGAAACAAAGGCGCGCGCCGCGGAGCACATCATATCCAGTCCACTCCCCTCCCTCGCCGGCGACCGCGAGGTAGCCTCAGCCTTCGCGCTTGCGAATCCAGATCCTTCTTTTTGGATCTTTGCGTTGCAGACTTGCAGTCCACGTTGAGAAAAGGGATCGACGTCGTCAACGGCGAGCGTATCCAAAAAAATGCTTCACGAGGCTAATTGACCATTTGGGCGATGTTATGGCTTGGATACCTTTGTTTAGGTCTGCGAAATCGAGGATCCCGGGAATGCGCCTTTCGACGGAGGTTAGCGTGACGGAGAGAATCAGAGAAAGCGGAGGGAGTCAAGAGGAGAGATGAGGGAAGGAAAGCATATATGTTTTCGCTTGGAATGTGCAGAAACGCGGCTCCTTTCCTCGTTCTTTCTCAAAAAAACCGGATCGGGATGTGATCGTTTAGTCAATACTAGTACTTACTCAATCCATCATAAATTGTAAGATATTTGACTTTTTTATATCAAGTTTGACCACTCGTCTTATTCAAAAATTTGTGTAAAATATCACTTATTTCGTCGTAGTTTGGTTTATTAATAAAAATTCTTCAAGAATGACTTAAATTTGACTATATTTGCACAAATTTTTTGAATAAGACGAGTGGTCAAACTTAGGACAAAAAAGTCAAACGTCTTACAATTTGAGATGGAGAGAGTACAAGCTTGCAATCTTTTTTTTTTATTTGCAATCAAAATTAGAGCTAGATTTCTTTCCTTTAGATCTTTTCACATTTCTATATCGAACCATCAAAAAACACTCCGCATGCTCCGCTCACTTCGCTCCACACGCGCCGCGCGCCCTTGCTCCTGTCCATTGTAGTGGATCAACGGCGCCAAGGTGCAAGGCCACGCCACCGTCTTCGTCGCCAAGTTCTTCGGCCGCACCAGCCTCATGTCCTTCCTCACCCCGTCCACGAGCCATAGCGCCTAGGTAGCCCTGTCGTGGCCGCCTCCACCACGTCGCGCGCCTTCCACCGCATCGGGTACCGCCATCTGTTGTCGCAACCGCCTCCGCTGCGTCAGTTCGCCGCGCCACACGTTGCACTGAAAACGCGTGTTGCATGCATATGTTCCAGATATTTCAGAGATATGTTGCAAGTGTTTTATATGGATGTTGCGAAAGTAGATTTGGATGTTACATATGTTGCAAGCGTCCGTTCCTAATGTTTATTTTGTTTTTCATACGCATGTTGCAAGTGTGTTTATCTGGATGTTGCATATGTTTCACACATTTTTTACAAGTATTTTATCTAGAGGTTACGTATGTGTTGTTATAGTTTTCAAGTGTTTTTCACGTATTTCATATGCTTGTTTTAAATGTTTCATCTATCTTCTTTTGTATGTTATAAGTATTACATTTAGATATTTCAAAGGTAGATCGGGTGTTCCATATGGGATGCGTGTGGGAAGCTGAAGGGGGTGCGAGCGCGCTGCCCCCCCCCCCTCGTGTGGGCGTGCAAAATGTAGGCGCGGACCCTCACGTGGAAGCACGAAACAGACTGCAGTTGCGCACGTATGGACGCGAGCGCCCGTCCGAACGCCTGGGTGCTAGCAGTGTCGTTCCCCTTATGGTCGTCTGTGGAGGATCCTCACCATGGATTTTCATTGATGGCCCAAAACAACCCAACTTATGTTTAGCGTATGTTTGATTTAGTTTAGAGATATGAAAAAAAAACTATCGGTTATGGAAAAAGTTATTGTGAGCTATGTGTTGTAAAAAAACTATAAGTTACTTAGTTAAAACAACCATAAAACATATTCCTTATCTTTATTTCACTTGAAACAACCGTAAACCCATGTGAAAAGGCACAAAGGTGAAACCCAAAACCAGGATCCATGCTATTGCAAAAACTAAACTACACGAAAGCAGATATTTCTAAAAAAACAGTTTCAAGTTCTGTTGGCTTTTTATTTTTTAGAAGGAGGAACACTTTACCAAAGTTGAACCAACACAGCCTTAGAGCATCTCTAAGAGACTAGCTAAGCAGACCTCTGAGCTCTATATTTGAGTGGTGGAGGGAAAAAACGCCTCCAGCAGGCTACCTACTTGGCCCGCGTAAAATTTGTGGGCTACCTAAATGTCCTCCCCCTCTACACATTCCCACAAGTGAGTAGGGAGGCAGGTCGGTTTCTTCCAGTGCCACACCCAAACCATGGCAACTCCTTGGCCGATCACACCTCCTCAACGTTGTTGTCACCGTGCTCGCATCCCGCTACTTCCCTCCTGATCCCGCCTTCTTCCCGACTGATCTTGTCTCTTTCCCGTCTGATCCCGCCTTCTTCTTGCCCGACGCCTCCTTCACGTTAAATTACATTTCTATGTAATAAAGGCATGGTTAATTTGTAAAAGCATCAACGCCATGTTCGTTTGGGTTGGTTTGGCTTATAAGCCACGGCTGAAAGTACCGTTGGCTGGTTTGGTGTGAGAAAAATATTGTTCGTTGGCTGATAAGCCATGGCTTATAAGCCAAATACGACCAAGCGAACAGGCTGCAGATTGGTAGTATCTTGCTACAACCAATAAATTTAACAAGATGTTCTCAATTTTAAGATATGACCAGTACCATTCCTGATTCAGGATTTGATATAGAATATCTAAGTTACGTATTGCAGTAACATTTGAATATAGCCATTTGTCGTGAATTGGATCCATTTCTTCTCTGATCTGCAGTATCCCTTCTATCTCTGAAATTATCAGGACAAGACACCCAGTTTGCATTACCCTGCGAAACAAAGTCGGAGAAAGTCGAGGATGGTGTACCTTAATCTTTGCTTCACGGCTGCACATCGATGAAGAGCTCTCGTGGCCTAAAGCGGTACGACGACTCGACGAGGACGGTGAAGGCAATCCTGGCGTGCTGGAAGGAGACGATATGCATGTCTCCCAGGTCCCAGCCGATGAAGAGCAGCATAATGTGGCCGCCGAAGCTGCAGGTGAGGCTGCCGGGGGGGGCTGCCCATGGGCCCATGAGGCTGGGGGCCCACCAGCAACGCGCGGATCGCATCCGGCGTGCTCGCCTCCTTGGGCGCCGAGGGCCGCCGGCTTCGGCTTCAGCGTGGGCATCTCGTCCGCAGTGCTAGCCACTGCACAGGCAGGCACTTTAGATACAATTGAGACGGATATTTTAGATACAATTGATCTTGAAAGTGTTCTCGAAGATTTTGCATCAAGAAATGCCCGAAAACGCTTTTTTAAAAAGCACTGAAGCACCGTAGTTTTATTTGAGGTGTTATTTTGCCGTTTTTTTATCTTCTTTGATGTACTGTTAACTTTTTAAGAAGAATTAAATATATGCTACAAGTTATATACTTTAATCGTCATATTCAAGTCCTTAGTGTCTTACTGGCCTAAGGGCTCATAAAATTTGTGGGACGCCCTCTTAACCTGCACGGGCCAGCTCTCTTTTTCATCCTCTGAACCGGTGGCAGGACGCCGCCATGTTAAGCAGGCTTGCCGCAGCTAACGAGACGCAGCGGGGAGAGGAAGGAAGAGGAGAAACAGGAGGAGGAAAGAAGCGACTGAGAGGCTGCGCTTGTGGTGGCGAGAGGAGACGACGTCTCGACGAGCCATGTGCGGCTTGATCTCGGGCTCTCGGCCCTCCAATGCCCTACGCTACGCCCGCACGTCGCCTGCCCCGCGCGCCAGGCGCCACGAAGCCATGCTTCACATCACACGTTGGCCGTATAGCCTGTGGGCTGTGGCTTCGTGACTTAGGTCGTGGCCGTGTCGATGAGACAACCATGCAACTTCATGTACTTTGTCAAAAAAAAATAGTGGTAGTTTAAAAAAAATAGTGGTGCAAATGTGCAATTCTGTTACGGCCTAACACCTGGCAGCCCAACCAAGCTGCAACCTGAAGCCCAAAAGGATGAGTACCAGAACCCACAAGCCGAATACCAGAGTTGCCTCCCCTCAAAAAAAAAAAAATACCAGAGTTGCCGGCCCATGCTGGGGGCGCCTCCAACAAAACTCAGCCGCAGCAGGCCCGCATGGTATGGCATCGGGAGCCACGGAGACCCCGGGCATAGACACGTCGGACGTCCGGACTGCCTGACATGGCCGGAACGAGCCAGCCACACATTGACAAGTCACTGCCGTGCCGGCCACGTGCGGCCCCGTCGTGCGCCGGCGAGTCGCGTTAAGTGGCGGGGCCCCCGGGATCCCTAAACGCCTCATGCCTGCGAGTTGCTGTGAGCTCCTGTCGTTGTTGGCACATGGAAGAGGAGATGTGGGTTAAGATTTGCCCTGGAAATTCTAGTTTAAAAAGCACGGGAAATCTAGTTTAAGCTGGTCGCTTTGCGGATATGCTCTCTGTTCTGTCTGTCATTCGCCCTCCCTGGTCTTCTACACTCATTGACATTATCTTTCCTTTTCAGCTTTTCCCAGACTTTTCTCCTCGGATCAGTGGATCACGGTTTAGTTTGGCTCCTCAAATTTGTTTCCGGCCCTCCCATGATCCCATCAGACGATCCAGAGCCGAGACGTGCCGGGGTATTTCTCCTCCTGTGCCTCCATGATTTTTCAAGTGTTTTTATTTGCCTGCTCATGCACCTTTCCGTGCGTCTTATGATAAGACTCTTGTCTTCCGCACACTTACAGCCGCACAGCATTAAGCCCGTCTCTAATTTGTAGTTTGCCGACTAATCGAGCACCCCAAGACAGCGACTTCACATATATCTCTGCATAGTTTATCATCACTCATCAACCATAATGGCACCTCACTCGTAGACTCGCGCGCAGTCCTTCATTCGCGCACTCCTCGTAGCTCCAGCATTGGACTCGGCCATGGATGCACGGCTGCACTACTCCAGGCGACTCCTGCTACAGCTGCAGGGGCCGGCAGCGTGCCCGTCGCCCGTCCCCGCGGCGCCCAGCGCCGCCGTTCCGGACGCTCGGCCGGGCCCGGCAGCGGCAGGCGAACTCAACTCCGACACGATCCTCACCCTCGCGCTCCTCACGTGCGGCCTCGTCGCGGCGCTCACGTTCCGCGTCGTGCTCCAGTGCGCGCTCCGCGTCACGCGCGGCGCGTGCTGCGGCGGAGCCGCCGACGCACAGGACGACGACGACGACGACCCCGAGGAGCAGGAGGAGCGGCACGCGGGCGGAGGCGCGGGGCCGGCGGAGCAGCTGCAGGCCGCGGCGGCGCGGCACGCGCACGGGAGGAAGCAGCTGCAGCTGCTCCCGGCGGCGCTGGTGGAGGCACTGCCGTGCCTGGCGTTCTCGGCGGGGCTGGAGCTGGTCGGGTCGTCGCAGTCGGAGTGCACCATCTGCCTCGCCGATTTCGCGCGCGGGGAGGCGGCGCGCGTGCTGCCGCGCTGCAACCACGGCTTCCACGCGCATTGCATTGACCGCTGGCTCGCGGCGCGGCCGACGTGCCCCACCTGCAGACAGGCGCCGTTTGACGAGCCCACCGCGTTTCTGTAGCCAGACAGCTCTGGCCTCTGGCCAGCGTCGTGCTTGTGGAGTCCGTATCACTTGGCGATAGCGTGCATGGCCCGCCTTGTGCTTGTGGAGCCCGTATCACTTCCACTTGGCGCGAGCGTTAGTAGTGTTTGTACATTAGCAGTGTGCTAACGGAATATTGGCAGCGTGTTACATGGTTTGAGACCTTGTGAGTAGAATATATCGGTGGTCTTAAATTTGAGAGGCAGTATTATTCAGATACTAAACTTTCATTTTTTATTTCTAGGTCTCAATTTGTCTCAATCTTCAATATTAGTCCATATAGGTTTTAACTCCCTCTCTGATTCGAATATGGCATGTTGGGTCCAGTAACTACACTTGCATAGTAGTGTCATTTAGGTAAGTCTCAAAACTTGCTACACGAGATACTAAGCTTGCACGCTCGTGCTATATAGGTTGATAACTTCCAAAAGTACAGATCTAAGTCCCAAACTTGTTAATCGGGCCATATGATGTCTAAATTTTCGTTGTTTGCGATAAACTGCTTGCATGCCCACATTCATCCCTCTCTCCTCTCTTTCCCCATTCCCTCCTGTGTAGGCCCCCATGTCATCCATTTATCTCATCTCCTTCACCACTCCCCTCATGTGCTAAAGCAATTCCTCCCCCTGCTGCCGCCGTCCCCTCCCCTTGCTAAGAACAATCTTTGTTCTAAAGCAATTCCTTCCTTTAATCTCTCTTTTCTCTTCTCAATTCTTCCCCCCAAATTCCCCTAAAAAAGTTCAACATGCCGTCTTCCGCTCGCCAGATTGGCAGTAGAACCCTGTTGCCGCCGCTTTTTCCATTCCATTAGAGGGCTAACCCTAGTGCAGCCGCCCTTTTCCCTCTACTCTATCCCCCCCCCCCCCCCCTTCCCCAATTCTACCTCTAATCAAGGGGAAATGACCCCCTAATTTAGGCGGGTGACAAGACGAAAAAGGCGAAAACGAAGAGAAAGGACAAAAGATAAAAAAAACGTATAAGTATTATATTCCATTTGACGCTCTCAGTCGACTTAGCCCTATATATGCCTTCAATGGTTCATGATCCTTTATATTTATAGGATGGGTGGACTTATCCCAAGGTGATCGAAACTCTCACCAAATCCCCATGCAAAAATATAATTTCAACTCGGTTTTGAGTCGTCAAAACCGCTTAACCAGAATAGCCGGTTTTGAAAACCGGTTTCCACGAGGTTGATCTTCCTGAATATATAAATTTAGATTTTTATATATTCATTTCAAACGTAACATGTGCAATACAGTCACTCCAACGCGCACCAAATCAACCGAGTCCACCGTGCAATGCAATTCACTCCAATGCGCGTCGCGTAGTATGTGCCTGGAAATGTGTTTTTTTTCACAAAGCACCACGTACATTGCACTCCATGCCTCATCAAAATCGCCAGATTCAAGGTTCGTTGCATACGATGGCACTTGGCTCATTGACAGTCCAACGCATAAGCTCCATAGACAGTTAAAATCTGCAACTTTATTACAGGATCCATTACATAGCGTGACAACAAACAAAATAACTCTGATTGCACAATGTCTTGTATCTGAAACATCAGAGCACCAATTCGGTCTAAACTTAACAGCTTGAGAGCATTAGCAAGCACCATGGAATCCGTCTCTAATATGATTCGTGACATGCCTAATTGTGCTGCATAAAGAATGCTCTTGTATTGTAAGCCGCAATCACTTCAATAATATACAACGCTGATGAATTAGTGGCGGAACCAGGGAGGGGCTGGCAGGGCCGTCCCCATCCCCCCCCAAAAAAAAAATAGTGAAAGTTTCTTAAATACTCTTAATAAATATTACAATATAAAAATATTTTGCCCATTTTTACTCATATTTTACCATAATCTTGTTATTTTTTGTTATGGACACTAACTACATATGTAAAAGCACAGAAATTTTATTGAGATGTACTCCCTCCATTTCAAATTATAAGTCATTCCAAGAATCTTGGAGAGTCAAACTTTTTCAAGTTTGACTAAAATTATAGAGAGAAACATAAAGATTAATGACATCAAATAGGTATAATATGAAAATATAACTAATGAAGAATCTAATGATACTTACTTGGTATGATAAATATTATTATTTTGTTATATAAATTTGGTCAAACTTGAAAAACTTTGACTCTCCAAGATTTTTGGAATGACTTACAATTTGGGATGGAGGGAGTACATTTATATATATAATTACCACACTCATTATGTATCATTATGTTTGCTCGGCCTCCCTTAATCAAAGTTGCAGGGACTGTTTGGATCCAAGCCTGCTGTCTTCGTCAAGGCAACGATCTCGACCCCAGAGGAGCTCCGTTCACCAGGCAAGTTTGCCTGGCTCCAATCTAAATAGCCCCTAGGGAACCTCAAGCACGAAATGCATTGGGCCCATAAGTTCTGATCATTGATCCGAGTGATGTTGGCCCTTTCGGCCTTTCCCCAATTGAGTAAGCCCAGCAAAAGGCCACTTCATCTGCTCAAAAACAAAAAGCAAAATCGGGCCATCGGACAAGCTCAATCCTCCGTGCAGTGCGAGAAGCTGATGCTCCCCGAGAAAAATTGTCGCGTCAGCACTCAGCCGGCAGCGACGAACCAGCTGGCGCCGGCGTCGGGGGCCCTAACGCTTGCCAAACTGTACGCTGGCGCCGACGTGGTCGTACCACTTTGGGCACCGAAAGTTTTCGGCGACGGCGACGGCTAGACCGGACCGGTGGAGAGCCTTTCAGGCCTTTGTCTTTGTCTGCCGTGCCCCGGTATCAGGCCGGGCCCAGATACATCCAGTACAGAGACGAGTCCTGCACGTCTCAAGCTGCGGGTACGCTCCGACGTGTCGATCGAGAACAACACGTGCCGATTCCTTAGTGTTACGTGGATACAAGCGGCTTGGGAGTTGGGAGCAAAAGGTACGGGACCGGTCCCCGCGGGCCGCGCGGCCCGTCAGGCCGTCACGCTCGCAGCACCGGCCGTTTTCTACGGGCGGTGCAGTGGACGCACGCAAGTACTAGTACCCCGTCCGTGCGTTTCCTTTTGTCTCGCTTGCTTCCTTCCTTTCGAGTCCTTGCCGTCACTGCTCGCCGATCGAGTTTCTCCGGATTCCAGAGAGGCCGAAGCGATCGCCGCACCACTTCGAGCAGGTGATTCTCTCCCTCTTGCTCTTCTGTTCGATCTCAAATCCTCTGCGGAATCGTACTGCTTATTATCCCCCGACTGGTCGCCTCGCTCACCAGTCGCCGGACCTTTTTGTGGTTTCTGCGTCTGGCGCTGCTGCTGATTTTCCGTGGTTTCGGTTGGTTTGTGGCGATTTCCTTGAAGGGCAAACGAATTCGCTGGGATAGTAAGACGTGCTGTAGCCCAGGTTAGCTAGGATTATGCTATGGCGTCGTGCTGCCGTCAGTACTGAAACACTATTGCCAGTAGGTTCACCCGCTGCCAGTGCTGTCGCCTCTGGTTGGATTATGATATATTGATATGGTAGGATTTTTTTTTTGAAACAACAAGCTACGAATTAACTGGCTGCTGAAATACGCATCTCGTAGCTCTTCGTATGGTTACTCCCTGCCGAAAAACAAATAAATTAGGGTTGACTTTTGTAGAAGCTGCTGCTATGGGGTTTTTGGGTTCCCCGTTGATCTGTAGTTGCCTGGGGTAGTAGGAGTAGTAACTTTTTTTTAATTAGAAATGCCTGTCAAGAGTTCTACCAAGCATATGTTGACAGAGCAGGGATGATGCTGATTTTATTGCCGTAGTACACAGCAGCAACAGGAAGGGCAGATTGTGTAGAGACGACAGTTCTTGCTGTTTTGGCAAATATCCCCAAAAGAAGTTAGTTCCTGTGAACTTATGTGTGACCATTGGTGATATCTCTTCATTTTGAAAACTGAGATCACCGGAGAGTACAATTTGTCTGACTCTGCATCTACATTTATGCGCAAATACTAAGATCTTCGATGTTTTAGGCTGTTGTACACTTGTACTCCTGTAGTAGCTGTATAGAAGTCACAATTAAACGAAAGACAATTATAGAAACATAAGGAACCCTGACCAGGCTGCATAACTGATACTCAATTACTGCAGTTTCCTGAATGTGTACTGAACACTGAACATTAGTCTTTGTTACAGAATAGTTGAGAATGGCTGACGAGGATATTCAGCCTATCGTATGCGACAATGGCACTGGAATGGTCAAGGTTGTTATCTTGCTCAAAAGTCTTTTCAATAAAGCAACTCTACTCCTGCGACCTGATTGTTGTTCAACTCGTTAATATTTACAGGCGGGTTTTGCCGGTGATGATGCACCAAGAGCTGTCTTCCCCAGCATTGTGGGAAGACCACGCCATACCGGTGTCATGGTTGGCATGGGCCAAAAGGATGCCTATGTAGGCGATGAGGCTCAGGCCAAGAGAGGCATCCTGACACTGAAGTACCCGATTGAGCATGGCATTGTCAACAACTGGGATGACATGGAGAAAATCTGGCATCACACCTTCTACAACGAGCTCCGTGTTGCGCCTGAAGATCACCCTGTACTGCTGACCGAGGCCCCTCTCAACCCCAAGGCCAACAGAGAGAAAATGACACAGATTATGTTTGAAACCTTTGAATGCCCAGCAATGTATGTTGCTATCCAGGCTGTTCTTTCCTTGTATGCTAGTGGGCGAACAACTGGTAAGATAATTGTCACCTCAGAAATAGTAATATGCACTATACAAAAATCATACGGTAAATCCTGACACAAACTCTTTCTCAAATATCTCTGTGTGCAGGTATTGTGATGGACTCCGGTGATGGTGTGAGCCACACAGTTCCAATCTATGAAGGATACACACTTCCTCATGCTATTCTCCGTTTGGATCTTGCGGGGCGTGACCTCACTGACCACCTAATGAAGATCCTCACAGAGAGAGGGTACTCCCTCACTACCAGCGCTGAGCGGGAAATTGTCAGGGACATAAAGGAGAAGCTCGCC